GGTAATATAGGAACAACACATCATTTTGCTCCAAATAAAATGTCACATGCCTACACTTATATCTCTTTCCTCAAATAAAATCCAATTTTGAATCCAAATTGCATTTTGAAACTTAGACTGGACGGTAACTCGACTAAATCATGCATTAGGCAACAATAGGTTTTACTAGTTGAGCCAGGGTCTAAAAATTGACGAACCAGATGATGTAACAATAACGTCATAAATATGATTTGATTATTTAAAATAAAATTATGTAACTAAAGATTTAATAAAATATATTTGTAACAAATGCTGATAATGTGAGGGACTAAACAAGACTTTATGCAAATGTGAGGAATCATTTCTATCTTTTCATATGTCAGGAATCAAAAAAGAACTTTTAGTAAATGTGAGGGACCATTTTGCTGATTTTCTCTTTATTTAAATATCTTATCTTTTGCAAACAAATTTTTGCTTACACTCCTAACATGTGTATAAACCACTTTTTTTTTTGTTTTCCTAATCATATTTTTTGTGTCATATATATTACATCGCAAAAAAAGTTACAGATTTATCTCAAAATATTTTTCCAAATAATCATGTATCTAAACATAGTCAAATGATAACTGTAACAATAATAAACTAGCTTCAACTTTATCCCTAAACGCCTTTGCTGCTTAGTTTTTTTTTTTTTTTTAAATAGTGTTAGTGGGAGGTTCGAACCCATCTCTTAGATGGCTGAATTTTGTGTTCACATGGACAAAGGTGTATGTCCGGATAGAGGATTGTGTATGAGGCAGAAGGTACCTTTTTTTTTCACATCAAGAAAACACACCTACTGTAACTGTGTGCACACTAGCGGCAAGTGTCCTAACTTGGAAGTCCTCAGCAGCAGCCAAACAACTATTTACTTTTTATTTTTTTTTCTATTTTTTTGTGGTAAAAGTAGTTTATGATTTAATGCAGCAGCAACTGATGCATTTGCACCCTAGGTGTTACCGCTTATTAAAGAATTCAAGCTTCCAGTGGAAGCAAAGATTCCAAATGATGTGTGGCTTGGCAATGACTAAACGTTGAGAAAAAAAATTATGGGCTTTCTTCTCAAAATTAGGCTCCGTTTGACAAGTGAATTTTTTGAATATTTATCTAAAATTTATTGTAGTTTATTGTAGAAGTTATAAAAAAAATTTTAAAGTGTATAAATTTTTGGATATTATGAAGTGTATAGTTCAAAATTTTTGAGAAGTTTTTTAATGTTACTATAATTAAAGTTATTAAAAAACTTGTATCAGACAAATTGGGTCAAAAACTTGCTTACCAAATAAGGCCTTAATTGGCCACGAGCATAGACAAACACGGAGCGGGAAGATTGATTGGCTACGACTAAAGGTTGAAAGAAGATGAGTTTTCTTCTTGAAATCAATTTATAATGAGTGGAGAGATTAAATATCTTTATTAATTAATTTGGATCAATGAGATGGCCTTGCAATATAAATATGTTTATCAATTCTTTCTTTTTTATTTTTTAAAATTATATTTTTTTATTTCACACACATTACATTACAAAAATTGTTACAGACATATTCCAAAACATTTTTCTAGATAATCTTAATACAATACAAACTCAATTAACAACGACAGTAATAATAATAAACCAGTTTCTATCGCGTCACTGAGAGCATTTGCTGCTTAATTAAGCAATTAGCGGCTGAGATCTAATTGCGTACGTAGTACTAATATTTTGTGTTCATATACTAGGCAACCTACAACAACTGTAACAACTCGGGCACTCTGAGATAGACTCAGAGTGTATAACAACTCGGGCAAACTATTTAATAGTTTTTATTTTTCTATTATTTATTTTTTTGTGGTAAAAATAGTTTATGATTTAATGCAGCAGCATCTGGTGCGCTTGCACGCTAGTTGTTACCACTTATTAAAGAATGTGAGCTTCCAGTGGAAGCAAAGAGTCCGAATCATGTGTAGATTGGCATGACTAAAAAGTTTTAAAAAAATGGACTTTCTTCTCAAAATCAATTGATCTCCGGTGTATGAAAGCACGGGAATTAAAATCACGTATTGATTGATTGATTACCTATGATTAAAGGTTAAAAGAAGATGAGTTTTCTTTTCGAAATCAATTTGCAATGAGTAGAGAGACTCAAGATCTTTATTAATTAATTTGGATAAGTGAGATAGTCTTGGCTAAATTGACGTGTTTAATTTCTTGGGATTACTGTATTTAACCTGTTCAACGTTCATTCAACTTTAATCCCTCCCACAAAATTCCACTACATAAGATAGGATTTCACCTCAGCTGCTTAACCAGACAATGGCAAAGTTGCAGGGAATTAAGGTGGTACCTTTTTTTTTTTGGTTATCCCGATGCTGATTTTTCTGGTCAGTTTTGGATCCCCAGACAATCGGTTTTGTTATGTCAAAGAAATTGCGCATTCAGGGACCATCTTGCTGCTGTGTTATGAAATTTAATATTCGCTGTCCATGAGGGCCCTCTTCTTCGCTGTATTCATCTAATCTTTGCATAGCATAAATGTGTATTTTTTTTTCGACAATAGGCATTTATAAGGGAAAAGTTAAATTACATTCGGCCACACCAAAGAGAGTCTCACTCAATCTAAGAGAGGACCCACAGAACTTCACCATTCAGGCAGTAGCATAAATGTGTATCGAATTACATATTTATATGCAATGAACTTGAGTCAGAGTTGTGGTTCTTTTCGTTTTCGTGTGTACTGCTTTTTTTTGGGGGTGGGGGTTCTCCATAGCCTGTCTATTTCAGTATTTTGTCTGAGGTAATGCTGAAGACATATCACTCAATTTTTATACATTTTGGACTTGAATTGCGTGGTGGAGTTTCTTTCTTTATATGAGTTTTCTTAATCTACAGCTTTGGAACACCTGGAATTGAAATTGTCCCCAGCCCTATGTTTGTTGGCAGCTTCCTAAACCGTGTACTTGTATTATACAAGTTGCAACGGTTTGACTCTTGGTTGTTTATTACTCGTGTGTTCTAAGCACAGTTGTAGGCTGAAACTCTGGAAGAATAACAAATATTTTTCCAGAACCTCCACCGTTTTATTTAATTAAGGTGATTGGTGGAATATTACCAAACACATGGAATGATTCCTCAATACTCCTTTCTGCCAGATTTGAAGTGCAATTTATAGCTTTGATTAGGCGATTAACTTGGAATTTAACTTTACTGTGTGAAAGAGTTCAATCATATGTGTCCTTTTTGTTTGAATGACAAAATTCCATCTCAACCGAAACACAAGAGTTTTTCATCTGATTTTCAATGAAATATCGGCATTTTGAGGGACGTATTAACTCTCTTTTTTTTTGCAATTACCCTATTTTGATTGTTATTTTTAGAATTTTTATAAAAAAAATGTTATAACGATTTGATATACGAAAGATAAAATAATAATTAAAAAAATTATTTAAAAAAGGTAAATTTTTTTTTTTTATGAAAAAACACAATCCAAACAAGGTGGGGGGAGAATCTGGATTCTAATATGAGATTTGTCCTCATTATCCGTAATAAAAAACCGTCCAGATATGTTGTCGTGCTTATTAGTTGTCTGCTATTGATTGTCAACCTACGTATTTGACTTGAAGTGTAAGTGTACAAACCGAACAAAGCTAATGGCAAACGACTAAAAATTCCAGCCAGTAGCTGCTTTTCTCACCAACCCATTTAATAGTTAAATTTAAGGGATAATGTCGGAAAACCTCCCTTGAGGTTTTGGACAGCTTCACTTGACCCTCTCAAACTTTAAAAAATCTCACTTACTTCCCTTATTTTGGATTTTTTGTATCATTTATAACCAATTTTAAAATATAATATTAAAAAATTCATTTTGAGAGAGTAAATATAACCTCATTCTAAATTTTCCCTATTGTTGTCTTACTTTTTATTACCAAAATGTTGAGTATATTAATAACAAATGAAAAACAAAAACAAAAAGTATGAATGTTTTTTGTAAGTTACAAAGACAATATTTTCTTTACTGTAAAGTGTTTTGAGTTAATTTAATAATTCTTATAAATCTTTTACATATTTTTGAGTTTTCCAATTTTTTTCCAAATAGATGGCTTGAAAGTAAAATGATGCAACGTGCTAAAAATTATACATAAACTTGTTTGTATTGTTTTCAATCTCATGCAAAAAGGTATTCTCATGGTTGTAAATTATTGCAAGTTATTTGATTATTGTAAGTCAATCGTAATTTTAAGTTATTTAACATTCCTTTCTTTTTTTATCTAACATTTCCTGTTTGAACTAATGACACAAAAACTATTAAAGAGTTTTTTCAATCTTATTATCAACTTTTAAATTTTCATTAAAAAAACTATATCGATCAATTAACCAAAAATTAAGAGATGAATTTAGTGTATTATGATAATTAAGAAATCTCTAGAAAAGGGCAAATTTGGAATGAAATTGTATTCTCTCTTTCAAAATGAGTTTTTAATATTATATTTTAAAAGGTGTTTCAAATGTTATAAAAAAGTTTAAAGTAGGAGAGCCAAGTGAGATTTTTCAAAGTTTGAAGGTACCAAATGAAACTATTAGAAACCTTAGGGGAGGTTTCTAAAATTATCCCTAAATTTGATGGCTCCCGAGCTTGGTAAAGGATATGTCATCATAGAAAACAGCTGTATCTCTTAAGAATATGTTACAATCACGTACTTTTTTGAAGAACCTTGCATGCTTGATCCCATTTATACAGCTTTCGGTGGCTGAAAAACATGTTCCAGTTCCCCTTCTGCAGACCAAGATTTGTTTCCCAGAATAATAAGTCTGCTTGGGATTTTCCTCCACAGCTACTACCACAGGAAAAAGAGCTACTTTACCAGCTTTGGTTGGATTTAGACCTTCGCTGCGTTCATTGCTAGAGCTTTTTGGTGGGTTGACTGCATTCCACATTGAAGGTCAAGAGTTTTTTTGCATAGTTGTCATTTTTCAAAAGTGCATATCTGAAGGTTAGACTTTGAGTTTGCATTTTGTTAACAATATGACGAAAATTTTGCTGTTTGATGTTGTATTGCACTTTTAGGATACATCTTCTTCTTTGACAAGCTACGGCTTAAGCGCGGATTTTTGTTTACATTTAGTCCATATATATCTGAACTCTTCATATCCAAGAAATCCGAGACAGTTTTTTTTTTTTTTTTTATGCATTGAAATAAAAGTAAAAGATAGTAGGTTCAAGTACATAGTTTAATACAGTCATCCTGGGAAGTGCAACTCCCCTGAAATCATCCAAAACATAGGGGAATACAAAATCAGGGCATGAATCAAAAGACTGGGATTGGTTGCTGCAGTTTCCTCCTTGCTTGGCCAATGCATCTGCAAATCTATTTGCTTCTCTAAGTTATGGTAGAAATAGACCTGGGAAATACGAGGCAGTTGATTTAAGCATGATGGCTTCAGGTTAGTCCTTCCCAGTGAAATTGACTCAGAAACCACTAGGAAAAGTTTAGGACGGGTAGAACCAGATTTACATGTAGACCGAGAGGTGGAAAATATGCCACATCACTGAAGTTAATTTTTTAGTTCAAAATGCTCCCTCAACAGCAGATCAGTCTTATCCTTACATTTATTGGCTCCACTCCGCCATCCTCAAGACCTCAGTAAATCGGTTTCCACCACCACCATTATCAACACTTCCTTGTCACTCCTTCTCCCCCACTCCCCATATCGACGGTCGTTCCTTTTCCTCTCCCTTTTTCCAAAATCGGCACCTACTGCTGCATTTCAGTGAACAGATCCAGGCAGATGGTGCGGTAATGTCCACAAGTGGAAAGAAGCTTCTAATTAGCATATGCACAACATCGTCATCTTGATTGTTTGTTGTTTCCTCATCACATGGATGGATCCGAGCAGCAGGCCAACAGTTTGTTTATTTTAAGCTTTAGCATCAAGACTTCTTGGCACTAATCCCGTCCCACTCCCAAGTTTACAGCCCACCATGAGATGAAAGAATTTCATGATTATGTGAATGATGAATTTAACTAGTGCGTTCATAAATATCCTAAGACTTTTCTAGTTGTTTTCCCCTTGACATTTTATGGATTGAAAGAGGAAAGGGTTGTGGATTTTTTAGGATCAACTTCTTTAATGTAGTAGATTTTGGACCACCCGATCTACTGATTTTTTTTTTTTTTTTGTCGAGAAGTGTCCGGAACCATTGGGCCGGTCTACTGATGAAGCCGTAGAATCCAAGAATTGCCGAACAAGTGCAATAGTTATCCACATTGATTTTGATTTGGCCGAAAATTTCTATTGTCCTAAAAATTGATTTGACTAAACATTACTTGTCAATTCTTGAATGACAGCCATGTATACTATCTATTAGGGAACTTGTACTTCTCTCTCTTCCTTTGGCTTCATCTCCTCCGTATTCTATGGCATAAAAAACAGGAAACATTTGGTCCCATCTCCTGTGCTTGTCTTAAAGTGCCAGAAGCGAATATATTTATTACTGAAATCACCAGACTTTGGGCGGGTGGCCATCACCGGTCACTAAGGTTTGATGGGATAAAATGTCACATTTAAAATGGTCTGACTACAAAAAAAAAATTTAGGATGATACGAAGTGTATCTATCTAGTCCGATGGTGGTTCAATCATCTCTGAATTATGTCTGGACCTCTTTAGGTCCGTCCCTTCTTTTTAGTGTAAAATAGATTAAGTTATACAATAATTGTCATTTTCGAAAAAAAATTATATTTTTACTGTATACAACTTTATCGTTCTTATTTGTTGACTACTGAACGATTGTTTCTTTGATATACTTGCGTCAGACAATAGATATCTTTTTTTTTCCTTTGCTGCATATCTCTGTAATTCAACGTTCTTTCTGATGTTTTAAGGCAATAGGGTATTTATGTCCAAATTCAGTTTCGCAGTATAGTTGAAGGGACTGCCACTTAATTTCAAGGCTTCTACTTGAAGTTAGGAGTATAACAATAGTTAAATCTCAGAAAATATGGCAGGCAGCTACCTTACTCTAGTAAATAGGCACCCATCTCTGGTTCTCCCCAAAGGCCAATATATGGGACTCCCAATATTGTAACTTTCTACTTCCTTATGTTAAGAGCTGCCTGACCTGATTATTTACCATATAGGTGCTGCTTCTTTGACATGGATAAGAGCGAAGGAATTAACCTCACAGAGAGAGATTCTTCAGAAAGACTTCCTTCACTGATTGAACATATTGCTGGAAATAAAGTGGCTGGATTTGATAACATTAAGGAGAAGAGTGAGCTGAATTATCAACCAGCTGCCATGTGTTCTCATTGTTTAAGCCCCTTAAGCATGGTAAGTCAATAGAAAGCTAATGATTTTACCCTATTCGGCAATAATGTTAACATCTTGAATTGTCATGAGAATTAGCATTTTATCTTTTTACAATCAAATGGTTCTTGGTATCTGCAATACCATTTGTCTTGTTTATGTTTCGACTCTTCCCTGATTTATAGAAGGATATTTTGGTTGAGACTTTTTGGAAGTCAAGACCTAAGTTGTTTCTAGGAGCCATCAATATTAGTAGTCCATTGTCAGACTCCTACAATTGCTTTTAGTTGACCTGTGTTGCATGTCTATAATGTATGTTAGCTATGTTAAAGGCATATACTGGGTGACTGACATAGTAGATCTTGCATATTAAATTTATCTTTTACTCGTCGAGGACCTCTTGGTGTATAACGTGGTCTTCAGGATTAATTTAAAGGTAAAAGAAGCCAAAGAATGAGATAGTAAGTAAGTGGCTTGAAGCAAAGGCATGCTCTTAAGTAACTAACCATGATCATAATAAGGCCCTTCTTAGAAGCTTCGAGTTAAGTAAATGTCACTGATTATGATAGACTTGGCTCCAGCGTCCTTTTTTTATGCAATGGGACCTTAACCTGGTTCTCTTTTCATTTTCCCCATCTCTAACATGAATTTCTGCTGCTGAGATGCTCTTAGTTGCGGCATTGCATCAACTATTTCGTTGTGGAAAGTTCTCTGTTGTTGTTTAATTTGCAAGACGGCAAGCTTCTGACACTCTTGTCATTGGGTTACACTCTACTAATTGTTTCTGAAGTTATATGTTATGTTAATTTTCTTAGGGAACTGTGGCAGCAGCTGCAGATGGTCAGAGTGATCTTTCTCAGACTCAAAGACTGCATTCTGTTTCTATTAGCATGCCATCTACTCCTGCGGGAAATCATTCCTCAAATGCGAAAAAAGTACTCTTCAATGATAGTAATGAAATAATTTTCAGCAATGACGTTTCAAATTCTGCTGCTTCAACCAATTATGGTGGTGCTGCAGAACTAAAAACCACAAAGTTTCATTCTCAGCCAATGCCAACAGGTTCAACATCTGATGAGGTTGTCGCAAATGGCAAATTTCCAAGCCATCCAGAAGGTCCCCTTAGGAATCCTGCAATTAACGGACTAAAGGATAAAAGATTTGACACTTTCAAAACTTGGTCTGGGAAGCTTGAGAGGCAAATATCCAATTTACGTGGAAAGAACAGGGAAGATACACATGATTCCAATCCGCAAGAGAATATAGAAGTGGAGAGTTTACCTGTGGACCGGTACTTTGATGCCTTGCAGGGGCCTGAACTTGATACACTACGGGTATGTATCTTTGCATATTCTGTTCTTCTTTTATTTTTGGTATCTGTCTAGGTGTAGTGAGATGGTTGTCATAAGTGTATTCATCACTGAGATTTGCAACATTGACTTTCTGCTGTACAGCCTTCTGAGGAGATAATTCTTCCTGAAGATGAGCAGTGGCCCTTTCTTCTTCGCTACTCAATCTCTTCATTTGGTATCTGTCTTGGTGTTAGCAGCCAAGCCATTATGTGGAAAGCCCTTGCAACGTCTGCTTCCACAAAATTTCTGCATATAAGCCCCGATGTAAACCTAGCTTTGTGGTGCATATCGGTTGCTCTTGTAGTAATCGTCTCTTCCATTTACTTTCTGAAAGTGATTTTCTACTTTGAAGCAGTTCGGAGAGAATACTATCACCCGATCCGTATCAATTTCTTCTTTGCTCCATGGATAGCACTTCTTTTTTTAGCTCTAGGAGTTCCACCATCAATTTCTGAAAAGCTCCATGCAACTCTATGGTACATTCTTATGTTTCCAATCTTTTGTCTTGAGCTAAAAATTTATGGACAATGGATGTCAGGAGGAAAGAGGAGGCTTTCAAAGGTGGCCAATCCTTCAAATCATCTCTCAGTTGTTGGAAATTTTGTTGGGGCATTGCTTGGCGCATCCATGGGGCTAAAGGAAGGGCCTATTTTCTTCTTTGCTATTGGATTGGCTCATTACATGGTCTTATTTGTCACTCTCTACCAAAGACTTCCAACAAATGAGACACTTCCAAAGGAGCTTCACCCAGTATTCTTTTTGTTTGTCGCAGCACCTAGTGTTGCTTCTATGGCGTGGGCAAACATTCAGGGATCCTTTGATTATGGATCACGGATTGCTTACTTCATTGCTATGTTCCTCTATTTATCGCTGGTTAGTCCTTCTATTATGTGATTTCTCAAACCTATGTGCTTTGCATTCTCAATTATGTTGAGTATTTTATGCATGGATAGGACTTACAAGCTTGTTGGTGAGCTCGGTTAGCTTTAGCTATAACATTAACACTCAGATGAATGTTGTCTGAAGACTGAGGGGATCTATAAGATAAGAAACCACTTCCCTACCCTTGAAATCGAATACCTTCCTGAGCATTGTTGTCGAAGAAAAAGTAGTACTATGCTCTAGATAAAAAATGAGGTTGGAAAACAGGCCAAGGCTAGTTCATGTTAAAGTGGATGATCAAGTTGTTTCGCGAACAATTTTATCTAAGCATATTCAGTTGGTAAGAATAGGTATCTAATCATTTGCTTCTCCTCCTCACAGGCTGTTCGCATTAACTTTTTCCGAGGCTTCAGGTACAGTAAGATGTGTAATTTTTAACTCCAGAGTTCTGTATCCAACCTACTTTTTATAGATTCCTGATATTCATTTTTTTTTGTTTTGGTCTAATGTAGGTTTTCTTTGGCATGGTGGGCGTACACTTTTCCAATGACTGGAGCTGCCATTGCCACAATCAGGTATTCAAATGCGGTAACCAATGTAGTGACAAAATGTTTAACTGTGATACTATGTGTAACTGCAACACTCACAGTAACTGCACTACTCGTAACAACAATCATCCATGCTTTCGTGCTTCGAAACCTCTTTCCCAATGACATTGCCATTGCAATTAGTCAAGGAAAGCCTAAAACAACTCGACGATGGTTTCATAGAAGATCTGGCAGCTCTGATACTACTACTAAACATATTGAACACTACCTCAAGTTTGCAGATTCAGAAGAAAAAGATATTGAAGCTTCTAATGAGTCGGCAGGAAAAGTTTGAACTTCTGGCATAAAAAGAAGTCTACAATATTCAGTACTTCATCAGTTTTACAGGTCCTGAAGTACTTACAAACAGTCTATCAAGGGAGGAGCAGTAAATCTTGAAGTCCCGATGAACTTGATGTACAAATTTATCAATATGGTTTATGTAGCAAGGAGAGATCAAGGAAAATTTTCCACTTTCTTTGAGCTGTAAATTGTTGTATTAGAAACTCTGAAAGTCTGAACAGTTGGATATCTTTCTGAATAAGCTAAATTTTTAGCATGGATAAGAGTAATAATTTAGTCTGTTAGTCACTTAGTCGTTGGATGAGTGTGTATCCCATAGAACATTGTAAATTGGCTGCGGGAGTAACCTAGCCATTGGATGCCAATGTTTGTTTAAAGATGGGATGAAAATCAAGCAAACAAATATCTGATGACTGGAAACTGGCTCATGGAAGGGTTTCAAACTCCATCCTGCCAAAAGAACAGTTAAACATTATCTAATGAAAAGACTTAACATCCGGTTCTTGAATCTAAACTATATTTCGGCTAAAGGGTTTCAAATCTCAATAATAATATATTAGGGGTGTGGATTTAGGATGCAGAAGTGTGAATTTAGCTTCTTTCATAAGTAATCTTATCAATATAATTACGCACAAGTCAATCTATTGTTACAAAAGCATAACAAAATTTACAAAGTTTAGAAAACAAGAAAGGAAATTAAAAAATATAAAGGGCAAGATTGGAGAATAAGGAGAATCACTATTATTACAAAAATATAGAAGTAATATATTGTTACAAAGTTCAGAACAGTCACTATTATTAGAACTTCAAAATGTGCTGAATAAGGAGAACTGGACAATGACAAGAACAAGGGTGATTCCCCATAATCACCATATCACTCTTCTACAACTAAATAGAATCAGTGTAATTTCTCCCACGTATAATTCTAGCCAGTATACATTCTTGTACCTGAGAATATAGGTTAGATGACAATGTATAAGACGAAAAACACCAAGCTTACTATCAGCAGGAAAATGAGTAGGACATAAAATTGAAGAGAAAACTAGAAAAACAAGAAGGACAATTAACAGCCCTAAAGAAAATAGTTTCAGTTCTTAGAAGTAAGGTGAAGAAAAACATTCAGCAACTTCATGTTTTTGTAGATTTTAATTTTAGCAATGCTAGAAAGTTCTATATCTTGAAATTCTTGTCAAATAGGTAAAAACTGACAAGTTGCAGACAAAATTAGACTTAAAAAACAGAAGAAAACATGATGCCAAAATCTGCCTTGTAAAATAATATTCCAGTCTCACGTTAATTAATTACCTCTTGCTTATTTCTGCCATTAATTTCAGTCTGCAATCTGTATTCTTCCATTCTCCAATGTGTTTTCTTAGCATGTGGTGGAGAACCTGAAAAATAAGTCAAATAAATTTTGAAAGCAAATATATCTCCTTCTGAATTGTGAATTGGTTCTTCTTCTCCAATGAATCTCCAGAAACCGATCCCATTTCCAACCATCCGAGTTGATCTTGTTTTCCCAAGAAAATATTCATCTTTGTATATGAAGAAAAACCATTCCCTTTCATTATCATTAAAAGTACCATTTCCCACTGCAAAAACAAATTTCAACGCAATGAGTTGTAAACATAACCAAAAAAAAAAAAAACCATTCCATCAGAAAAAACAAAAACTTCAGTGAAATCTTTAGTCTTATTTCCAAAATCACAAAATTGCAACCATGATGTATACTGGAAGATGCCACTTAACTAGGAGTTGTCATGAACCAGGAATTGATCAAACTAGAAATAAATGACCTGAAGCGGAAATTGATGAAACTGGAAATAAATGAATTATCACGGGATGTATACTAGAATAAAGATGGATAATGAACTAGAAGGGAGAACGTAAGTTTAGATTGTTGCAATTCTAGTCATGAGTTATTTGCAATTCTGTTGTTTCTTATCCTTTCCATCTTTTGCAATTTTCTTGAATCACAACGTATAACGTATAATCTATAACCTATCATCGTGTAGTCTCATTATACCTAAGTGTAATCTTGATGTACCAAAACTATTGTTAAATACGTTACACAACTAGCATTACCATCTAAAAATAACAAAATTTTTGCAACTTCTTGCAACTTCCATAACAACTATATAAAAGAGCCCTACAAATCTGAAAAGCACCCTACAAATCTTTCCAGACTAATGTTACATGCGCTATCCATACAGAATTAACGTATAATCCATATGTAGAAGAATATAGATGACAGAGTGAGATGTACCTAAACATTTGGGATGTTTGCTATAGAGGTCGTGGGCATCAATTTCTCGGATGATCTTAACCGGGAGAGGTTTGTAGAGTACTTTGTTAGCCAGATAATACTTGACCAGCTCTTCATCAGTGGGCACAAATCTATACCCAACAGGCATCTCCAACTCCAACAAACGTTGGCTGGTTTCCATGAGAAAATGCTGATTTTGAGTAACAAATCAATGAAGAAGATGGACAAAATAGAGCCAAGCCTTGAAAGAACGAAGATGGTAGTAGCTTTACCAACTGAAGCCCGTATTTTATATTAGCTTGTATTGAACAATTGCGCGTATACGTACGTTTCTTTCAGAAGGAAAGTTGAATCCTAGTACAACTTGGAGTATTTAAAGTCTACACAATTTTAGGCGACTTTTTCAATTGTTTGTGGCTAAGAAAAGATTAAAACGTATTCGTTTTCTGGTGAAGAGTAACCCTAAGTGAGTTTCCTAAAACTGTGTGAATTGACTTTTTCATTAATTTCATTTCCATTTTTAATAGTAGTTCTATATCTAGACCAAAATTAACGTTAAAGGGAGATCACAATGGATTGAATATGCACATTCTACATTCTCTGTATTCTATATGTACTAGTGACAAGGATACCCAATCAGTGTGTAATTTAGAAACAATCGCTTTTTATATAGAAGAATTTAATATAAAATTTTCATAAACACAAAAAAACTTTGATCTTTTTAAAGTTTTTTTAATCAAATTTTAATTAATTTGGTGGTTGCAATGTTTGTGGGTGGGTATGGATAAAAATTAGTTGTGATTATATTGGTTGGCAACATGGGCAACATGTAATCAGATAGTAAAGATATAATATAGTGATTATGAGGGTAAAGTTGAAAATTTAAAAAGTGACAAAAGAAAAAGTTTACACCAAATCCAATACTCTCTCTTTATATATACTAGTGCTTGAGGCAACCCTAATGTGTCTGCATCTAATAAAAAGCATATTTATCAAAATTATCCCTTTATAATATTTTCTTATTGGTTAAATTTTTTTATAATGTAGATAATTGTAGAGAACTATGATGGAAGCTGAGCAAATTACATGGGAGTTGGGAGTTAGTGTAAAAAATTGGATAAGCTCAACAAATAACTACAGCAAATAACTCTCTCCTAATTGTGGGGAAGTTTGTTTAGTATACTGGGACAAATTTAACCTTATCATTAAGGATAGATTAGGAATTTTAAAAAATAATACTGTTTATCACACAGTGATGCTTATTGTATAGACTAGTGTTAAGGGTACATTCAACGTGTGCGCAATTAGGGATCAATTAGGTGGAAAGTTTTGAACCTAGAACTTCTCATTTACACTCTCTCCTTCAGTGCCATCCAACCAATTCCTTCTCCCCGATTTTATTCCCTTCTTAATAAACATTAATTGAGTCTTTTATATGATTGACATTTATATTTATTTATACTATATAAAAAGGGAGAGATGGGGGTTTGGAGTAACACTTTGACAGGTGTCGACCCTACACAGTAGTAAAAGTCTTACTAGAGAAAATAAAGATTTTGTATAGAGCAACAAGTAGAATCATCTCCACAAGGATTGGCGAGAAATTTGTTTCTTCTATAGTAAGAATTATGGGGGATTTTGATTCAAAAATAACTAATTAATAAATAATTCATGAAAATAAACAAGAATTAATTCAATAATAAACACGACTCTAATCAAGAATACAACATTTTAGATATGATTCACACAACTGATCATTGATGTAAGAATAGATTAATTACTCATTAATAGATTGGTTATAACCATCAACAAAATCTGACAACCAATTTTTTCTTACTTTATCGATAGTCAAGGTACGATCGTTAACTATTTCCCTAATCAAGAAACAATTCTCGGTATGACCATATGATTTAATTTTCTAATTGTATTAAAAACTAGAAAAGCCCAACCCTAACCAATAAGTATGCTACTAGAGTTTGTTTAACTTAGATCATACGTTTCCCTAACATGAAACCAATCACACTAGTTACCACTAGTATTAACCAATCAAACAGTTACATATTTAACTAGTTAATATGGCAGTAGATTATGAGGTTAATTTGAATATCAGCCCCTTGACATCCAAATAACAAAAAAATCATAAGAAATTAAATCAAAAAATATACGAATGCCAATGAATTAAAAGAAATAATTAAAAATTAACCTTCAAATAGCCAAAAATATTGTTGAACTCCCTATTTGGATTTACATCTATGGGAGGAAAAAATAGTTAATTCTGTTGGACCGTATTCATTGCAAATTAGCGGAGAAAATTATCATTTAATTGGATCTCTGCTACCACCTGTTGGAGAATTAGGTAGATTCATACAACTGCAAAATTTTTATACCGATAATGAGTTACAAAATCGTATGAATCTTCTAAATAGTCATGATGGCAAACCAATTGGAGTTGATGCATCCATAGTTGAGGGGTTACATAGTATGTTAGATGAGATCAACCCATATGTACAGGTATTTCAGAATGCTAGAGACATGCTTCGAAATCAAAATGTTTCGAATCTTCAAGTACAAATAATTTGTGCTCGGGGTGATAGACAATATATCCAATCAACTGCAAATGAAGTTGCTGCTATAATCGTAGGTGAAGATAGTGGGCATATTACACATCGTGATATTGTAGTTGTTACTCGAGATGGAAATTTGAAAAGAATTAAGGAGACTTATCCATCTTACATGTCACTACAATATCCTTTACTATTTCCCTACGGAATAGATGGATGGCGATGTGGCATAAAATTTTCACGCTCTTCTAGTAAGAAGAGACAATTTGTTTCAATCCGAGAATTTTATGCTTTTCGGATTCAATTTCAATACAATAAAGGTCATACACTTCTAAAAGGTGTTAAACTATTCCAACAGTTTGTCGTTGATTGCTATGCAGCAATTGAACACGACAGATTAAATTTCATGAAAATCCATCAGTCTGTATTGTAGGCTGATGTATATCAAGGTTTGGAAGATGTTGTTGTTGCCAGAGATACGGATGCATCGGCAGTTGGAAGGAGAATTATTTTACCATCATCATTTTCGAGTGGAATCCAAAATATGGTACA